GTAAAAATGATACACAAATGTTGACCAACCCTTGGAGAACTCAAACATTAACTTTATGACTGGAAAGACAGATAGCCCTATAGAACCCAGGCCTCCGATTATCTTGCTTTCATGAATCATAGGAATATTTTCTGTGGTTTGTCAGGATGAAGATGTAGATAAGTCAGCCAGGGCACTTGACATACTCTGTGCCAGGCATGATGTTTAGGTAATGGTAAAGGAGATCACTCCCTACTTCTCATGCTTGATTTTTAATCTACACTGGAAACCCGTCCACAACCATTCTTTTATTTTATAATGACAAGGTATGGTAATGACGTATGATAAAACCAAGCCGTTCCACTAAAGTAGAAGTTAATATATTTAAACCGAGATTCCTTTCAAGTTCCCCCAGGGCAGAAAAAGAGGACATTGGCATTCATTGTAGCTAAGGAGGGGAAGGACTTAAGAGCCAAAAGTCAGTCATTTTCAAATGAAAAGGGGCAAAGACAGAAGAAACCCCATCAAGCTGACGATCCGTGAAGTTGCTGGTGACCAGGAAGAGGAACCCTTTGCCAGGGTAGCAAGCACCCAGGATGCTCTGCAGATGAGCTCATCAGGGTTTGGGTTCCGGGCAGGAGAGGAGCAGGTGGGAAGACGCCTGGGGGCCACGGTAAGCGGGCTCAGTGAACATGCACCAGGAAGACCGGAGGGAGAGCCCTGCAAACTGCTGGCTCATCAGATCGATAACCTCAGAGATGACTAAGTTCGGTTGCTTTATGCAGTTTAAACATTTGTGCAGGGAGTCTCCCCACGCAGCCCTTTATTGACAGCTACGGATCAATGGTAATTTTTGATCATTTTCAACCTACATAAACCTATTGACCCCGGGGACACCTTCGGGGCACTTCAAGTCGTCAAAAATAATCAGAGGAGGTGGCGTAAAATTGTCAGCCTGCTGAAGGCGCCAAGTGGTGCCATGTGCCCCCAGCAGCCGAGTGGGGAGGTTCAGGCGTGGTTCTAATCGCCAGCAGAGCCGCGTCTGGCAGCGTGGTCCAGGGCGTCCTGTCTGTGTGTCTTATGAAAGGATGATCCGGTTTGTCTCCAGACCCTGACCCTTATGCATATGAGTTGAAAAGGGAAAAAAAGGGCCACATCTCATTGGAAATGTTGGGTTGTGGAGAAAGGATTATTTCTATGTTCCTTGGTTGAGTCAGTCTTTTCATCTGCTGCCTAATAGAATGAGGTAATACACGTCTAGAATAAAAAATATGAATATTGTGTAATGTGGACATGAGGAGGAAAAAGAAAAGGGAAGCCCACAGGTCAGGGATAACATGGAGGTGGGGGAAGGAGAGAGGGACAGAGGTAAGGAGGAAGGGAGGAAGGACGAGAGAGATCTATTTCTACCAAAAGCATCCATCAGTAGGATAGAAGAGAGAGGGAGAAGAGCGAGCAAAATGATGACAAAGGATGCATGCATATTAAACTAAGACAATCTCTATAGGGGAAGAAAGAACGGGGGAACAGAAGAGAGAACAGTCTTGCTCAGTGGTTAGAACGTCAGCCTAAGGACCGAAGGGTCTGGGTTAGATTCCCAGTCAAAGGCATGTACCTGGGTTGCAGGCCCGATCTGGCCTGGGCAGTTGATCTTTATCTCTCTCTCCTCCTCCTCCCTCGCTTCCACTCTCTCTAAAAAGCAAAGGGAAAAAATATCCTCAGGTGAGGATTAACAACAAAAGTAAATACATAAAGAAGAGAGAAAAGCAGTCAAATGATTTTAATGATGACTTTGGCAGGTCATTGCTACAGAATGCTACGTTTCCAAAGGAAGGAATTAAATCCAAAACATGAAAGATTGGCAGTGCTCAAGCAAATTTCTCGAACGTAAGAAAAATAACACGTAACTGAACAAACAAGACACAGCCCCATCCACAGTGAACTGTGCCCAGACTTTCCAGCAGGGATCTCAGATGGTGAACTTAGTTGTTGGAAATCTACTCAAGGAGAAAATAACATAAATTATTCCCTAAAATGTCAAAGAATAAGTTGGTAAGGGTGGTTTTGCTACTTTAAACTTTTCATTTTATTTTCATCTGGCCTTTGCTAAACATTGACAAAAAGCAAGGCTGTTTTTGAGATTTATTCAAGGTGTGTGTGTATGTGCATTGCTCTTCAGAAATAACACATTAACTTCATATGGGAACTTGTCCTCAGTCTAAATTTATGACATCAAAATTCTCCCTTCCATTTCCAATGTGTGGTTATTTTTCTTTTATTTTTTTTAAAGAAGTAACCAAATTAAGCAAAACAGCTGTTGTGACCTCCTTCTGCGCCAGGCGGGCACAAACTACCACTTAAGGTCTTCAGGCATAATTTCTACCTCGGATGAGGAAGGTTTGGAGGCCAGGGTGTTCCAAATACTCCTTCTCTCAAGGATCTGAGCTATATACCCATGTGCGTTAAAGGAGTTTAGAAGGAAAGCAGTTGTGTTGTTTCTGCAGTGGTTGCCTGGCGTGTGTTGTGTGGCTGAACGCCGGTGTTGATCACCAAGTACTCGTGCTACCAGAAGTGTTTGCGAGTATTGCCATCTAGGGGCCGGATGGGACTCTCAGCTCAGAAATAAACTGTAATTGAGCAGGTGCCGCTATTGGCAATATACATATGTGTTTTGCTTTGTAACCCACACGCTTTTCATGCTTCTGAGGACAAAAGCTCTCTCTAAACGTCCCCCGACAGGCTACCTGTGCTATAGGTCATCTGTGAGAGGTGATGACTATTTGCTTCAGAGATATGCTTCTTCTGGCCCCGAGTCCTGGATATTCTGAACAAAGAAGTTTCCTTTTCTGCATTATTAATCTTGCCCGTGTTTGCCCTATTTCCACCAAAAAGGAATCGTTTATCAGAAAAGAGTGTTTTGTAACCGGGACTTGTAGCATCCTCAGATTTAATATTCATTGTGGCCATTCCAGCCCTGTGCGATATTTATCTAAAAGACCAATCCGATGTTGTGGAGAAATCAGTTTTAAATATTTATGGGCCAAACTTTTAATATTTTAAAAAAGAGAAATTAGTCTTTCTGGAAAATTTGTTTCAGAGTCTGGTCACTTAGCAAACGTTTAAATATTAAAAGATTTCAGGAGGTTAGCATGTAAATACCGTAATGGCACTTACAGAAACAGGAAAATTGACTTAACTAGTTTTTAATAAGGAAAAGAAATGATATTCTCTCTGCTTGTGAAGAAACATTAGCACAGTTGAAGGTTGTAACCAAGAATGTGAGGAAATGGTGTCAAAATTATTTCGATGGTATATTTTGGTTTTGTCTACCAGTGTGTATTTTCTTTTTTTTATTTTGAAAAATGGTTCCGTTTGATTTTGCCACCTTGTTTTAGATTTTAATCATAATGCTATTTGGATGCCTCCCCATTAGAGAGAATTTCCATACACATAACTTTGTCTGATGCCTTCTGGTACCTACTCTCAGAAATAACTACCTCTTCTCCATCTCACCTCCCTCTTGCCATGCCCACCAAGAAAAGAGGACAATTGTCGCATTTAAACATCCAGTAGACCAAGGTGACCTCACACACCATGAAGTATAAACATCCTATTAGCCGAAACCGGTTTGGCTCAGTGGATGGAGCGTCAGCCTGCGGACTCAGGGGTCCCAGGTTCGATTCCGGTCGGGGGCATGTACCTGGGTTGCGGGCACATCCCCAGTGGGAGATGTGCAGGAGGCAGCTGATCGATGTTTCTCTCTCATCGATGTTTCTAACTCTCTATCTCTCTCCCTTCCTCTCTGTAAAAAGTCAATAAAATATATTTAAAAAATAAACAAATAAAATTAAAAAAATAAACATCCTATTAAACCAGTCAGAGCTTCCTCGGGGTTACTCACATCCTGTGGATGTGGTACAGGACAGGAAGTATGTATTTGTGTGTGTGTGTGTGTGTGTGTGTGTGTGTACACACATTACTGGTCCACTTGCAGACATAATTCCTATCTGTAAACACACATATCCATCCAGCCCAGATGTAGAAAAAGCATTCTGGCTCTTTCAAAACATTAAGATTCTAAGCTCCAGTTAAGTTATGCAAAATATGTTAAATATTGCTCTCCGAGCAGAAACAGAACACACACAAAAACTCATTCTTGCGTTCTTTCATTTTATTTTAAGTCAACAAAGTCCAAATTCTCAAAGCCTAGCTTACAGTTACTTGGGGTACGTTTCATAGTTTCGGTTATGGCATTGTTAACAAATGCCAATATTTTCACATTTGTGTTAACAGTAGACTTCTGTACGGGTCTGTGCATTTAATAGTCCAGTTGGCTTGTTGTTTTCTTGGGTTTGCTTTATTGGAAGATCTAAATACGCACCAAAAGAATGAGAGAGGAGATGGGTGAGGTGGGCAGTCGTTTGTATAAACAAGCAGCTGGGGAGCTGGGGAGAGAGGATTAGGTTGTTCAGGTTAAGTCTGCACACATTCCATTGTGATCCGGTGATCTCTAAGGCATCATAGAATTTTTTCTTTAGATTCTGTGTCACATCCCATTGTTCGTAACCTCTGAAAAGGCAAGGATCCTCTCTGACCCACACTTCGTATGTGTCTAAAATCACACAACCAGGGTGTCGAGAACAAGATAAAAACTTGGCTGGTGTTGCTCAGTGGTTAAGCATCAACCCAGGAACCAAGAGATCACAGGTTCGATTCCGGGTCAGGGCACATGCCCGGGGTTGCAGGCTCAATCCCCAGAAGGGGCCAAGCAGGAGGCATCCGATCAGTGTTGTTTCTCTCTTATCGATGTTTCTATCTCTCTCCTCCCTTCCCCTCTCTCTAATATCAATAAAAACATATTTCTTTTAAAAAAAGAACAAGAAAAATATCCTGTTGTTTTCTTAATAATTCAAACCTCTGCTGTGGTATTTGTCTGCCATCACCAATGTGTCTCATTGAATGACTTCCCAGCTGTCCTTAGCCGTTTGTAAGAGCAAACCCACCTGTCCATTTTCTTACAGGGAACAAGCCATCAGGCCCACCTGTTCGGGTTAGAACCCTTCACAACGTATCACGTTGGTGTCGTGGCCGCCAACGAGGCAGGAGAGGTGTCCAGCCCCTGGACCGTGATCCAGACCCCGGAATCTTCCCCGAGTGGACTGAGCAACTTCACGGTGGAGCAGAGGGCAGGCGGCCGGGCCTTGCTGCTGCGGTGGTCGGAGCCCTTGCGGGCCAACGGCGTGATTAAGGTAACACCTCAAAGATGGAACCAGCCTTCCGGCTAAGCTACTTCTCATTTTCCCCAAAGAGCAGTGGGTAGTGTGGGATGGAAACGTGCTCTGTGCTTGTATGAGGAGTGTTCAGATGGGTCCGCTCAGAACCAAAACGAAATACTCCTCTCCCACGGAACAGGCAATTCTTGTATGGCCTGTAAGAGAATACAGTGGCGATTTCCAGCTTCTCGTCATCCAAGGTGGTATCTGAATATATGTATGAATGTATACGTGTGTGTGCCTACACACACACACACACACACACACACACACACACAGCCCTGGCGCCCCGGTGCGAATGCTGAAGCACTGTAATTCCATTTCCCAGGAAATGTCATGGGAGATGGACAGTGTGGATGGGACCTACTTAACCTACTCAGGATGAGGCCAGGGCACTTAGTACCTATAAAAGAGGGAATTTGAATGCTACTCCTTCCTTTAAAAAAAAGATATATTCTTGATTTCAGAAAGAAAGGGAGAGGGAGAGAGAGATAGAAACATCAATGATGAGAGAGAATCATTGATCGGCTGCCCCTGCACGCCCCCTACTGGGGATGGAACCAACATCCCAGGCATGTGCCCTGACCTGGAATTGAACAGTGACCTCCTGGTTCATAGGTCAGCACTCAACCACCGAGCCATGCCACCTAGGCTATACCCTACTTTTAAAAAAATACAAATAGTAGGAAACCCCACAAGCACTCATGTTCTGCAGCACTTAGCTTGTAGATATATGCTTATCGAATATCCAACCTTCAAAAAAAAAACAAAGAAAAACATTGCTTCTCTTCCTATGGACTTTACATCATATTCCAAAAGTTAGTATCGGACCATTCTTTCCGGATGTGGGTCATCAGGATGAGGACTAGCAGTGGGGCAGGTTAAAGGGACGAGGTAGCCGCACCAAAAACCAAATGCCACACGTCACCCTCCCTGTGCGTCTCTTCTCGCTGCAGACCTACAACGTCTTCAGCGCCGGCAGCCTGGAGTACGCGGGCCTGAGCCGCCGGTTCCTCCTCCGCCGCCTGGACCCATCCACTGAGTACACGCTGACCCTGCAGGCCTGCACCCGGGCGGGCTGCGCCCACTCGGCGCCCCAGCCGGTGCGCACAGCCGAGGCCCCGCCCCGCTCCCAGGCGCCTCCCGCGGTCCGGTCCGTGGGCCCCACCAGCGTGGAGCTCACCTGGTCGGAGCCCAGCCACCCGAACGGGAAGATCACCCGCTACGAAGTGATCCGCAGGTGCTTCGGGGGGAACCAGACAGATGCGGACGTTGTCTGCACGGAGTACACGTCGGACAGGGATGCGTTTGCGTGCAGCGACACCAGCCTGCAGCCGTGGACGCCGTGCGAGTATAAAATCCGCGCGTGGAATTCAGCCGGCCACACCTGCAGCCCGTGGACCGCGGTGAGGACCCGGCCGGCGCCCCCGGAAGGTCTCTCTCCGCCTGCGATCACCCTGGTGTCTGCGGGTCCCCCGACCCTGCTCATCGCCTGGCTCCCTCCGGAGCAGCCCAACGGCGTCGTCCAGTCCTATCGGCTCCACAGGAGCGGGGCGCCCCGTCCTTTCAGCTTCGACGCCGTGACTTTCAACTACACGGATGCGGAGCTGCTTCCCTTCTCCACGTACAGCTACGCGGTCGCCGCCTGCACCAGCGGGGGCTGCGGGTCCAGCGAGCCGGCCCACACCACCACCCCCGAGGCTGCTCCAGCGGGGCTGCGCCCTCCAGGCCTCCGGGCCGTCAGTGCCACGCAGATCAATGCGTCCTGGTCACCGCCAGCGGCGCAGAATGGCAGGATCACCACGTATTGGCTCAGAAGTGAGGGCCAGGAGCACCCGGCTGGGCAGGGCCTGTCCCTGCTGGTCACCCACCTGCAGCCTTACACGCAGTACAGCTTCTCCCTCGTGGCCTGCACCCGCGGAGGCTGCACAGCTAGTGCGCCCACCTCGGCCCGGACCCTGGAGGCCCCGCCCCAGAACATGGACCCTCCAGAACTGCAAGTCACGGGCTCGGGATCCATAGAAGTCACCTGGACGCCCCCCAGAAACCCCAACGGCCAGGTCAGGAGTTACGAACTTCGCAGGGACGGGACCATCGTGTACACCGGCCTGGAAACGCGCTACCAGGACTTCACACTCACCCCCGGGGTGGAGTACGGCTACACGGTGACTGCCAACAACAGCCAGGGGGGCGCGGTGAGTCCCCTCGTCAAAGACCGAACCAGCCCCTCGGCGCCCTCAGGGATGGGGCCTCCGACGTTACAGGCCCGGGGTCCCCAGGAGATCTCCGTGGCCTGGGACCCTCCCGTGAGGACAAACGGCCAGATCGTCAACTACACCCTCTTCGTCCGAGGGCTGCCTGAAGGAGAAACCAGGATCGTACACATCAACGCGAGTCATCACTCGTTTGGCGCCCGGGCCCTCGCGGTAAACCAGCTGCAGCCTTTCCGCAGGTGGGTCTCCCCCTGGGCCTGTGAGAGCAAGTCACCGTCCTTTCTGTGGTGTGAGCCCAACATGGGTGACACCCCAGCCCCCATCTGCGTAACCAGAGGAAATCAGGGAGAAGGAAAGGGGCTGGAGGGAAAAGTAGGGGTGCCCTGAAATCGGTGGGTGTGGGAACAGAGCCCAAAGCACGCACTTGCAGCCATGGGCACCTACTGCTCACAGAAGCCCCTTTTGTTGGAAGGGGGCAGTCCTGCTATGTAAATAGACCTGTGCAGGCGGCAGGAGACCAGCGACCAGACAAAACGTAATTGATTGGTTGGGTTTAACTGGACGGTGATAAGGTGTCTCCGTGATGGATAATCTGGTGTGTGGCTGGGTTACCTCTGGCCCGAAAGGTCTCCGCGTGCTGCAAGGGGGCCTATTGTAAAATGTCAGGTATGGGGGGTGGTTGGGTTATGACCAGGCAGGCCTTACCTCCAGGGTGCTGCTTCACTGCCTGGGGACACTCCTGGGGAGTCTGTGAGACCCACCTACAGAGTTCCGGGAGCCCAAGGCTGCTGGAAGCTGGCTCCCATTCCCCAAGTCTGCCTTCTTCACTGGGCTCAGTATTTCTGCAGACGGAAAGGGTTTGAGTGCCGGAGAGAATCCTGAACGTTTATTTATCCCACGCACTCCTCTTAAGGGAAGAATGTGCCCACCCTTTCCAGACGGGTGAGCTGCTTTATTTTGGAAAGGCAGGGAGATTTCAGCTGTTCTAGAATTTCTATGGAAATATGACTTTGTAACTTCTTTATTTTTATTTTTATTTTAGAGAGAGAGGAAGGGAGAGGGAGCAAGGGATAGAAACATTGATGAGAAACATAGATAGTCTGCCCCCTGCACGCCCCCTACTGGGGATTGAGCTGATGACCTTTTGGTGCCAGGAAGATGCTCAACCAACTGAGCCACAGCAGCCAGGCGACTGTTACTTTTTAAAAGGGTCAGCTATCAATAAGAATAAATATAAACTTGCTGGCCTTTTTATCCAAAAACTCTTGGTATTTTTTATTTTATTCTTTTTTACTTTTACTGATTTATTTATTTATTTTTTAGGGAGGAAGGGAGAGGGAGGGAGAGAGAGAAGCATCAATGATGAAGGAGAATCATTGATCGGACGTCTCCTGCACGCCCCCTACTAGGGATCAAGTCTGCAACCCAGGCACGTGCCCTGACCAGGAATCAAACCCATAGCCTCTTGGTTCCCAGGTCGACACTCAGCCACTGAGCCACAGCGCCTGGGCAACTCTTGGTTTAATAAAGATTCTTCCAAAACAAAACTCTAGTTTGCCAATAACGGGTAATTTCTGCCTTGTGTCCTGAAGGTACGAAGCACGGATTCAAGCCTGCACCCTGCTGGGATGCGCGTCCAGTGACTGGGCATCCGTATTGACCCCTGAGATGGCCCCTGCCATGCAGCCGCCCCCACGCCTGGAGGTGCGGATGGCTCCCGGGGGGTTCCAGCCCACGGTCTCTCTCTGGTGGGCAGGACCGCTTCAGCCAAATGGACAAGTTTTATCCTATGAGTTGTACAGGAGACAAGTAGCAACTCAGCCTGGGCCGCCGAGCCCAGTTCTCACCTATAATGGAAGCGCCAGCTCTTTTATGGATTCCGATCTCCTTCCTTTCACGGAGTATGAGTACCAGGTAAGAAACGCATATTATCAACCACTCCCACGTCCCCAGTAGGGGGCGCGCAGGAGGCAGCCAGTCCGTAATTCTCTCATCATCGATTGATCTCTCTCTCTCTACCTTCCTCTCTGAAATCAATATATATATATATGTGTGTGTGTGTATTAATAAATTAAAATATAGGTCGTAGGCGCCTGGCTTTGAACAGTGCTCACATTTTGAAAAGCCGCTTAGAGAAACCTGTGGCTTAGGGAGGTCCTAATATCCTAATATCCTGGCTGCAGAGGGGGCCTGGGGGTGAGTCCACTCCCTAAGCAGCTGGGATTCTTACCTGAAGGGAGGGCGCTCAGTAATCCTGCATCGTAGTCGCACTCTCCCCACCGGCTCCTGGGGACCTGCCAGGACCCCCTTCCATCGCATCAGGCTGTCCTTGACTTCATTAGTTTTCCTGAAATGGGCCCCCTTGGACACGTAAGCACCCTCGCCCAAACACGGGGTCTCCAAAGGCTCCTGGTGCCTTGTTCCTGGGGGAGGGAGGTGGGGGGCTGAGAACCGACAGGTCAGCTGAGGGTGGGGGGAAACCTGGTGATTCGCTCTCGTGTGAGTCTGCCCTGCGGGCGGGTGCTGTGGGAGCCCACCCGGGACAGCCGATTTCCCACAGGCCCAACCACCCCCAAAGGGCACCCTATGCAGGAGAGGATGGAGGGACGGGTCGAAGGGGACGAGGGGGTCTCACCGTTCCTGCCCCTCAGCGAGGCAGGTCAGCCCCTCTCCTCCTGGCCACTGCTCTTCTCGGGAAGACAGTGACGTGGCCACGTGCCCTCCATCCCCCTGGGCTGTGTCTGCACTTCTGTGATGAGCAACTTGCTTCAAAGGGCTGGTTCTCCGAGGCTGCCGCCCTCGCCCCGCCCCTCTCCCGCGAGTTCTCTGTGTCCCATTTAGGCAAAACTTATTGAGCCTGTTTTTTGTTTGGCTTTGGACACGCATGAAATGAGGTATTAGTCTCACGGACGTATTTCTGACCAGCGTGGAGGCTTCTGTTTGGTTAGCTTCTCCCGCAAGAACGAAGCTGCGCCCGCCCCCAGTTCCCTCGGCTCCAGGTTTTAAATGATTGATATTGTCTGACACAAGGCAGCGTATTTGTCCTAGAAGTTCAGAGCCTCCGTGCTCCCGCCTGGACTGAAGGCCATCGGACGTTTCCATGAATAGAAATCTGAATTCTGCGCCTGGGCCAGGGATCATGGCATGGTTTTGCCATCACACCCTTCATTCCGATAGGAGATCATTTCTTCAAAGTGCCTGTGAGCGCCTCTTTGCTCTTTTCTTGCCTCTCCTGGCATTCCTTAGGGCTCTGTTCCTAAGCCCCTATTGCCTGCGGTCCCTCTGGTGCCTTAAAGAGAATTGCACTTAATTACTGGGACTCGGTATGTTTCCATTCAGTTCACAATAAATGTCTAGGTCTGTATGAAGCGATCATATCTACAGGTGGAAACAAAAAGTGTTCATGCATTTTTGTAAATCTGATGCCTTCAATTGAGATCTTTAAGAAAGTGGCTGAGGCTTTTTCTTGTAAATTAATTTATCTATCTGTCGATGGGTCTGATCATTACCCAGATGCCTGTCAGTGTCTGGGAAGCTACACGGTTCTCTCCTTGATGCCCATGTCCGTAATGGAAACTGAAATTAAGTTTTGTTTTCTTTGAGGAGCCATTGAATTGCTCCAAGGTTAGCTTCTGCTCATACTTTTGGATGTTGGGAAAAGTTTTAATGAATAAGGCAAAGTAGAGAACGCCATCCAGTCAGCAAATTTCGATGTAGAAACAATATTTCTGAAAAGCCAGGCTTTCGTTTATCCTAATCCTCGGAAGTTCTAGAATGGAGGAGCCCCCTGAGGAAGGTATACAGAGAGAAGTGGGCTGAACCCAGAATGCTGTGTGGGGTTTGCTCTTGTTGATTTATAGCAGCCAGAGTCACAGAATTGCTATTTAGTACCACTCTCTCTTCCAACAATCTACCAACAAATAATCCTATGTAATAAAAGGGTAATATGCAAATTGACTCTAACTGCAGAACCACTGGGAATGACTGGTCGCTATGACGCCCACTGACCACCAGGGGGCAGACAATGCAGGAGCTGCCCCCTGGTGGTCAGTGCGCTTCCATAGGGGGAGTGCCGCTCAGCCTGAGCAGGCTCATGGCTGGACAGCGCAGCGGCGGTGGCAGGAGCCTCTCCCACCTCCACAGCAGCGCTAAGGATGTCCAACTAATGGGTTAGGCCCACTCCTTGCCTGGAGTGGGCCATCCCCCGAGGGCTCCTGGGCTGTCAGAGGGTGCAGGCCAGGCTGAAGGAGATACCCCACCCCCCCGCCAAGTGCACAAATTTTCGTGCACCAGGCCTCTAGTATATAATAACCAGTTTTACTTATCTAGTTCTTGCTATGTGTTGAGAACTATGATAGATTTTTACATGTATGAGCCCATGACAGCCATTGAGATAGGGTTATTACCAATAGTGCACCTTAGAAATCAGAACACTTGAGAGGTGAGTTAACACGCCCAAGGAGACAGTGGGTGAGTGGGAGAGCTCAAATTTGAACCTTGAGATCCAGGTTCCAAAGACTGTTCTCTTAAATTCACTCCACGGTAGCTCCAAATTGCATTTGCATACAACTCTGGGGCTTTCAAAAGTCTTCATAAAATATTTATAAATGTACTTTTTTAGCACCCAGTTCTTCATAAATGTATAGAAAATGTTTTGCATGTAAATCAGAATAGTCCTGTGAGGTAGGTGGCCAGTTAAACAGGTGGCTACATAGAGCTTTGCAGCAATTTACCCCTTGACTGTGGCCCACCCGCAGGACTGCTTATGAAATAAAACCATCTTGCCGTCATGGCGGTTCAGACCCCCTGCCTTCCTGTTAGCCATGAGTCCCTCTGACCACAATTGTGCCAAAGCCCCGTTTGGCATTTTGCTCCTCGAACATATTCCAAAGCCAAGACAAGCTCCCCTTTCAAACGGCATTGGCATGAGTGCCCTGGGAAAATCTACTGCAAGGTTGCAGATGAATTGATATGATTTCGTTGATTGGATCTTTTTATTTATGAGGCATAATTTATGAGCGCTGGAGAGCAAACTGCAGTGAGTGATGACTAACCACAGCCCAGGTCATAAATCAGGAGCAGTGAAAGAAATGGTGATTTTGATCGAATCTATTGAATTAGCTGTTGGCCTTCGCCAATACAGGTATTGGAAAGACCTTTTTAATATCTATTTGTCTCCCTCCTGGGAATGTGATAACGGTCTCGTTACATGCCCCCAGGAAACGAATAATTTAATAGTTTGCCTGTTAACATGCAACCTATTTACTCGAGTTATTAATTACAGGCATGGCTGTGCGTGTAGGATTTTTATTTATTTTGGATGTGAATTGTCAGGAAAATTTATTCCCGTGCTCCAGTTTTTCTAAACAGTGACGTGGCCTCCTACTGCTTCTTGATATTTCTGTGTTCTTGGTGGTGTCCAAATGCTTCTTATTTTATCAAAAATTGTCATATTCCACAAGCAAGCATGTTATGGAATATTCCGAAGTTTCAAAAACCTCAGACATTTCTATCTCAAGCCTCTGAGAGGAACTGTTAAAATTCAACTCATAATAAGCAGCAAGATCTCAAATTGCTGCAAGGGCAAGGCAGTTACTGTCACTTACATAAGGAGTTAACAGATTAGAGGGTTTTTCTGTGAAAGATCGCTGATTGAATTTGGTTATTCCTATATTCCATTTTTGTTTGGGAAATGATAGCTAATAGTGTATCAAAGAGACCTCCGCTGGATCCAGATAGGTAGAGAGCAGATGCTGACACGTTACGTAATTAAAAATTTTAAGGCAAAATGCAGTTAATTGGTCCTTGGGGGAGGGAAGAGTCAATAAAAAAAATTTTTAATGGACAATAGCATAAAGATGGTAATAATCGCTAGTTAGATATTTTAAAACTTAGATCAAAAATAGAAATATAAACAAATGAACCTAATATTTTACTAGTCATTTATAGAATTTGTGGTTCAGTGACTTCAGTTCTGTCCTGTTTATTCATATGGTTGGCCTGGGTTTTCTGTGACATCTGACATTGTACCTCTTTTCATGTTTACAACCAAAACCCTCGAGAAGAAAGCACCTGACCCAGCCGGCGCTGACCTGCTCACTTTTACGGCCCTTCCCGGGGAAGTCCCTGCCCCTGACAGCTGTCATTGTGCGCTTGTGTGTATGCACACCTTCACGCGTACAAGTGCGTGCTGAGTCCAGATTAGGAAGTTGTTTCAGTGGAAACTTTAATCATCTTTTTTTTATTATAAGGACACTCTGCAGGTATAAGGACACCCTGAATTAATCAAAGCTGAGCAGCATCCGTACGTTTTTCTCTTGGCCATGGAATTTGTAAACCTTATTTCACCCTCCCTCCCCCATTCATGTCCCTTTTTTCCTGTGAGCAGCCCACACACAGTGTGTTTATGTTCCCAGTGATCATGGGAGGGAGTCTTGGGATACAAATCAAAAGGAATGGCTTGTCAGTTAGGTAAATGGCGAAGAGGTAGGTAGATAGGTAGGTAGGTAGGTAGGTAAGTAGATACATACATACATACATAGATTGAATAGAATAAGAGAAAGAATGAATAGAATAAGAGAGAGAAATAAAGTAGATAATTCTATGTTTGTTCATAAGATATTTTATTTCTTGATTTTTGTATTGGTTCATTGAAGTTAATAGATCCCGGCATATTGCTCAAAATTTCCCATGCAAGATCTCTGCTTCTCTTTCCCCCCATAAAGATGGACCCAAATCTTGAGGCCATTGTTTCCCCTTAGAGATCATAAGCATAATCTGTTCCCATTTTCATTCTGAACCCTGAACTACACTCCACTTCCTTCATCCCTTGTTTAGCTGGAAAGAGACCAAAATCCATGGCAACTTTTGGGTGAAGGACTTTCACCTCAACAGAACGAGGCAGAGGAGGTATCACCGTCAGTCTCTCTTTTCCTTTCCTTCTGGGAGTCTGGTGCAACAGGAACACTGCCTTGTGGTTCAAGTCTCCTGGAATCCGTAATGCTCATTATCTCGGCCGGCTTTCCCCTCCTCGTAACTGCTTTCATTTTCAGAGTGGCTCCTGTGAATAGCTGATCCTGCTTTGCATAAGCATGTTGATTTATATGAATGCTATTTTGATCTCAAATTGATTGAATACTGAAAAGAAAGACTAGGGGGGAAAAAAGAGCACTGTATTATGAAGGTCTCTCGTGAAAGACAAAGGCACTAGCTCCTTCATCCGTTCCCAGTTAGGGGTGGGGAGTTTTCTATTGCCTCGTTTTTAGAAGAGACTATTTCTGAAGAAATACAGCAAAATGATCATGTTGAGACTCAAAGTAGCTTTAAAATACCAAGGGTTAAATCCCATTTGGAAGTAGGACCCCACCCCCCAAGTCAGAGTTCAGGAAGCCATGAGGGTTAGCCCGCCTGGCAGCACCAGGATCACAAAGACCTCCTGGTTTCTGTGGCCCTAAATCTACATCAAAAAGGAAAGCAAAGTCAGTGAGCCAAGCCTGGGCCAGCCCCCTGCTAAGCACTTTCTAGGAGCCATCCCTGTTCCCCCTCAGACCTGCACTTCTACTCTCTCTTATGGGTGCCCAGTAATCAATGGACAACTCGCTGACGCTGTATTTTATTACACCTACTCTATTTTCCTCCTGCTTCCCCAGCCATTGTGACCCCCACTAAAGTTCCCTGTGCCCTTAGATCACCAGCCAAAGCCCTGTTCTTAGCAAAGAAGTTGGTATCAGTATATGCTCCTTATTTTGCATATATTCTTTAAAAGATTTTTTTCACTCCTTATGTAATAAAAATGCCCCTCGCCCCACCCATAGGAAGGTAGTTGCAGTGAAAGGGGTTGGTCTGGAGCAGACTGAGCAGTCGGGGACCTTCTTATCAGTCCTGAACTCTGACCTCCTCCCAACTTCCCCTCTCAGACTGACCTTGGCCCATTCAGAAGGGATTGTAAAAGCAGCTGCAGTGGTTTTTCTTTTCTTTTCTTAATATATTATTATTGATTTCAGCGAGGAAGGGAGAGGGAGAGAGAGATAGAAACATCAATGATGAGAGAGAATCATTGGTCAGCTGCTTCCTGCACGCCCCCCACTGGGGATGGTGCCCACAACCCCCGCATGGGACCGAGAATCGACTGTGACCTCCTGGTTCATAAGTCGAAGCTCAAGCACTGAGCCACGCCAGCTGGATGTTATAGTGGTGTTTTGACCTGGACTTGCGTTTCCAGGAGGCCTGGCTCTCCCATTGCTGGGTTTCCTTCTCTGTCCTTCCCTGTGCCTTTCAAAGCCAACCTCCATCCTCTAATACAACCTGGGCACCTCTCTCCATCCTTGCCAGTTAAGAGATTTTAATCCAGAATCACAGGTGTTTGTCTATGGACCGGTTATTTAACTTTCTCGATTCCACGTAATTCACTTATGCGTATGGATGACATACAGAATCAAACACACAATATATTGGAAAGAGCGATAGAAGTGTTTATCAGAGAGCAGAATTCTAGTTTCAGCTCTTGTAACTTCTGTCACTCTGAACAAGAGAACCTCAATTTCCTCACCTGTAAAATGGGCTAATGATCCATTATCCAGCCACCCTACACGGTTCTGTTGGGAGGGCTAAGTCAGCTAGCGTATGTCCAAGTGCGTTGTAAATTGTAGAGTGTATAAAATGTAGGTAACTATCATGCAAATGATGAGAGACTGTATCAGAACTCTGAAAAGAGCAAGTTCCGATATGTAAGTAGGTTAGTCATCCCGTCTGCAAGGGGCTGCAGAATTGCATGTGACAGCCATCCAAGAGCATTTCAACATCAGGACTTTTACTTTTGCAAAGGAATCCACCTCCTTAAAAATGTGTGGAAACACTCATGGGAGTTGACCAAACTCCTAAAAACCTCTCCAATGTTTATTCTCTTAAAGATATTATTGATGCCAAAGCAAAACAAACAAAAACAAAACTCAATTCTCCATGCAAAGTACTCTCCTACAGTTTTTTTTTTTCTAAATGTCTCAGATTTTGAAAGTTCTGCATGTGTTTGTTTGTTTTTTTGACACAGCACACCTAGAAAGTGTGGACTGTAGAATCAAACCAGCTTTCCAGATGTGTCTTTAAAAGCTCAGGGCAAGTTTGGATGGATAAGTGGATGGGTGGATGAATGGATGGATGGGTAGGCAGGTGAATGGGTGGATAGGTAGGTAGATGATTGATAGATAGATAGATAGATAGATAGATAGATAGATAGATAGGAAAAAGACAACAAATGAGAAAAAAAATTCCTGAAGTTAGACTGCTCAAGATGAAAGCTTACTAAGGAATACTGGTACTCCTAAACATGCAGACAGTCTTCTCGTATTGTCATTTAGATCTATCATTCTGATTGATCACTGTGTAGTTGGCTGTTATTGGGCCTAATTTAACCCTATACACTCGCACATCCATCTACTCTGTCTATTGTACCTGACATTCTACAAATTACTTACTCATGCAAATGATGACCCAAGGCAACCTTTTAGGATATTCGTGCTTAATTATACAAATAGTTCTTGATAAATAAGATTATACATCCTTCCATATGTTGATTCCCTCCTTGATGAAAGGAAAATCTAATTTCCATGCAGATTTGGTGGGGACAGTGTTTAAGAATTGCTGAGTTTTAAGGAGTCTGCAGAGCCGTCCAGTTTGCAGAAGCTGACAAAAATCCTGCCACCTCCCACCCAGAGACGAGCAGTTTTCCATGGAGCTCAAATCAGCCACTGCAGTCAGAAATCAGGGCTCCCCAGCGAGCCCCTCTGTGTTCTCGGGGACAAAGGCAAAACAAAGAGGAAGGACCCAACTTCCTTTGCGGTCACAGAGTTGAAAGATCAAAGTGTATCTCGTTCTGCTGTGTTCGGTCGCTTTGGGTTGCCAACTGTGTTCTTTCAGCCTGAGGTTATCTTGGTGTTGACTGGTCTCAATGATTTCTCTTTGAAGGTCTGGGCAGTGAATTCAGCAGGGAAAGCCCCCAGTAGCTGGACGCGGTGTAAAACGGGACCTGCCCCCCCAGAAGGTCTCGGGGCCCCCAGGTTCCACGCCGTGTCTTCTACCCAAGCTGTGGTCAACATCAGCGCCCCTGGGAAGCCCAATGGCATTGTCAGCCTCTACAGGCTCTTCTCCAACAGCACTGGCGGGGCAGAGCTGGTGGTGAGTAATGGAGTCCCCTTCCTTCCTTCCTTCCTTCCTTCCTTCCTAACTTCCTAACTTCCTAACTTCCTAACTTCCTAACTTCCTTTCTTTCTTTTTATTGATTTCAGAGAGGAAGGGAGGGAGGGAGAGAGAGATAGAAACATCGATGATGAGAAAGAATCATTGACCGGCTGCCTCCTGCACACCCCTTACTGGGGATCAAGCCTGAAACCGGGGCATGTGCTCTGACCGGGAATTGAACCGAAACCTCCTGGTTCATAGGTTGACACTCAACCACTGAGCCATGCCAGCCGAGCTATTTATTTTTTAAAAAATAAACCATGATGCCCTTGCTTTATCTTCTCCTTGCTTCTTCTTTCTTACTGTCTGTTCACAGTGGCCCAGTGATGAGCTTAGTGACGCAATGATCCCTATGAGAAGAAATAGCAGTGAGCATTAGGACACACACAGAAAATACGGAAATGCCCAGGGAGGGACTTGCTGAAGGTGGTATTCAAGACTCCAGGGATGTTGTGAGAAACCTAAGACTTCAGGGATACTAAAATCAAATTAATTTAGTTAGAAAACGCCCATCAAGCGCTTCACGTAGTAGTGGTCTATAGTGAGGGGCAGACAGGTGGCGATTGGAGGCGGTGTCAGTGTCATCATGAAAAAGAAAAAAAAAAAAAACTAGAGCAAAGAACGTCCTTGGAATCCTCATTGTGGTGCTCCAAGGTCTCTGACAGCACCCAGGAAACTCATCTTTCTGTTAGCGACTTCGAGAAAGTTCTAGCGCCTTGGCAGGGACTGCAGAGTGGCTCAGTCCACAAAGCTAGAGCCACGGTCTGTGTATGGACACATCTGGGGCCCATCGGGGAGACGTGCCCCACGAGCCACTGGCTGGAAGGGCCACCCCAGTCAAGAAGGCCAGCTCCTGCCCCAGCTGCTCTGGCTCAGTGGATAGAGCGTCGGCCGCAGACTGCAGGGTCGCACATTCGATTCCGGTCAAAGGCATGTACCTCGGTTGCAGGTCCAATCCCCTGCCAGGGCGAGTATGGGAGGCAGCCAATCAATGTGCCTCTCTCACATCCGTGTTTCTCTCACTCTGTCTCTCCCCCTCCCTCCCACTCTCTCTAAAAATCAACATATCCTCAGGTGAGGATTAGCAACAACAAAGAAAGAAGACCAGCTCCGTTATTCACATGGGGAGGCCGAGCCCTTGGGAGGAAGTCTCTTTTCTCGGTCACGCCTACCTTTCTCAGGAATAAGGACAGATTATAGCGTTTAGTTCGCACAGACCCCATAGAGAAATTGTGCAGATCCCAGGATCTCATCCTAAACTACTTAGACCAATTTAGGGAACAATTTGGGCAAGAGTGGAGAAGTCCCCCGAGGCCAGAGTGGCAGACACTGAAACACAATTTCACCAGGTAACTCTCAGATGCAAGGAAGTTTCCTATTGCATGTTAAAGGGAAATTAGCATATTTTCTACAGGGCTTCGTAGTCAATAAATATAGATGATGTAAATACAATCAACCCTTGATTATCTATACTTACAAATGATAATATTAATGAAGTAAAATAATTTATATTTGGAGTGCATTATACACAATTTTCTGCAATAACATACAGCTCTTCTTAATTATATGTTGTGTATGTCAGTGTGAAAACTAGTTTCCAGTTTCTGATGGCTTCTGTTCCAATAAGTACTTAATAAAACCACAATGAGGTTAAAAAAAATTGCTCCAAATAAGCCAAAAAGTTTATCATGTAACAGGCATAATGGAGAAAAAGACTATATTTCATATAGCCACCACCCTCAGAGAAAAAGATGGACTATCAAACTCTTAAATATGTATATAATATATAAAATATGCAATATGTAAAATATGCAAACATATCAAGTATATATATTTCAAGCTCCTAAATACCCAACTCAATCATGGATTTGAGGGGCTATTCAACCCAAAAATTACATGCAAATAACAATGGCAGAACATGGGCTTGGCGAGTGTTGACTAGGAGTATAATTCAAATACAGATTTTGTTGTTGTTTTTTAAAGCTTTATTCCAAGGGTTGCAGAATTTGATCCATATTTTGTGTGTTTTGTGCCATTTTCTAATATCTTTCTATGATAATAGACAATGTATGCCTTGTGTTTTCTGTCCTGTTACCTCTAACTTCTATCTCGGAAATCAGTCATGCCTGTCCAACGGGTTGGTAATTCCTTGGGGGCAAGTACTAGCCACATCCACAGTGCACCTCCCAGGCTGCCTGGCGTGGCGCTCCAGTCCTAGGAGGTGGGTTGCGGGATGCAGATCTGTCACTGAGGTCTGGGCCCAGCCTCATCAGCTTCTCTGTCCGCAGCTGTCGGAAGGCCCGGCCGTCCAGCAGACCCTCCGCGGCCTGCAGCCCTTCACCACCTACTCCGTTGGCGTGGAGGCCTGCACCTGCTTCAACTGCTGCAGCAGGGGACCCACAGCGGAGCTGAGGACGCGCCCTGCTCCGCCCGCCGGGGTGGCCTCCCCCCACATCCAGGCGCTGGCCTCCAGGACAGCCTCCTTCCTGTGGAGTCCCCCCCTCTTCCCCAATGGCATCATCCAAAGGTAATCGGCCAGCCAGAAGGACGACTCAGCCCAAATAAGGCCTGCTTGCCGACATACCCAGCTCTCCCCCGAGCAGGTGCCTCTAGCGGCATCTAGCCAATGGGCAATATTTGCTGGTTTCAGTGGTCATGTCCCCTGCAAAGCATTTCAGTCATAATGGATGGAGTGTTTGTGTGAACTAATATAAATTCAAAGTAAACATCATTACATAAAAAGGTAATCGGCCAGCCAGAAGGACGACTCAGCCCAAATAAGGCCTGCTTGCCGACCGCGGGCCGTAGTTTGCCCACGGCTGCTCTAGCGGCATCTAGCCAATGGGCCATATTTGCTGGTTTCGGTGGTCATGTTCCCTGCAAAGCATTTCAGTCATAATTCAACTAAGATCTAAAGGAGAGCCACAAACTTGTCTTTAAATAAGAGAGATGCTGCCTGGCCCGTGTTCGCACTCACTGGAGGAATTTGCGCCTCCTCCCTCGTGGTTCTCCAGTGATCCATTCTGTAGCTTCTGCTGGGACACCCAGTTCTGTGGTTAACTCAGAATTTCCTCAGTCTTATTTAAAACATTGAAATGAACCATTGTTTGAAAGAACAAAGAAGTTATTTCACTCAGAACAGTCGGGAGGAAACAAGATCTTTTTCATTTTTCACAAAGGAGAGCCGTGTTCTCAGTCTCCTCTGAAAAGAGAGAAAGGTCTCACTCTCCCAGGATGACCAGCTGCTGGGCGGACGGCAGGGTGTGTCCATGTGTGACTTCCCTCATCATTCCTGCTGCTCACTTCCAGCAGCTCAATAAAGGGGGTCCGCCCCCAGCCGGCGTGGCTCGGTGGTTGAGTGTGAGCCTGTGAACCAGGAGGTCATGGTTCGATTCCCGGTCAGGGCACATTCCAGGGTTGTGGGCTCGATCCCCAGTAGAGGGCATGCAAGAGGCAGCCGATGAATGATTCTCATCATCGATGTTTCAGTCCCTCTAACACACACACAACAAAATAAAGTGGGTCTGAGCTTTTCCCATGAATGGCAATTTTCAAGAGCTTATAGTTCAAGGAAAACAAAACAGAACCAGTTTTATAAGAGAGTTACACTGATGCCATGCCCCGTTTTCTCCTGACGTGTTCGTCCTCCTTCCAGCTACGAGCTCCAGCTGCACAGGGCTTGCCTTCCGCACACAGATGCTCCCTGCACCCCCAGCCAGACGGAGACGCAGTACAGGGGCCCGGGGCCCAGCGCCAGCCTGGGGGGGCTCCAGCCTTACACCACCTACAGGCTGCGCGTCCTGGCCCACAACCAGGCAGGCAGCACGGCCTCCAAGTGGATCCGCTTCACCACCCAGAGAGAGCGTGAGTAGCAGCGGCCGCCACCATAACCAGAGACAGTAAGAGGGCAGTGGACGAGGTGCGTCATGAGGGCAGGGAAAACCCGTTTTATGAAAGGGTTTGCGTGGAGGTCCCGTTTCATGGGCTGCTACTGAGACGGCAGTGAAGGGGCTGTTAGAAAGCATGCCTCGTCCCCTAGCCGGGTGGCTCAGTGGCTAGAGCATCGGCCCGTGGACTGAAGGGTTCCTGGTTCGATTCCGATCAAGGGCATGTACCTGGGTTACAGGCTTGATTCTTGACCCTGTCCGGGCACGTGTCTCTTTCACATCGATGTCTCTCTCTGTCTCTCCTCCTCCCTTTTAATCTCTCTAAAAATAAATGAGAAAACATCCTCAGGTGAGAATTAACAACAAAAAAGTGTGCCTCTTGCACTTAATAACATGGAGGTTTTAATGTACCGCACTCCCGAGTGACCAGCCGGGCCATGAATTATTACACCCGCATTGCTGTTTGCAAGGCTCTTCAACACTCTTAGAAAACAAACAAACAGTTCAAGAAAAAGCTTTAAAAATAAGTGGGTGCCAATTGGACATAATTCACCATCTAAGCAGTTTGTTTGGTGTGTGTGTGTGTGTGTATGTGTGTGTGTGTATATATATATAAACTTCATCTAGTCCTTGGGGCTTTGTAGCAATAAATATTGATTTGCTATGAAAATGGCTATCTACTGTAGTTAATAGTGTTAAGGATCCTTTGCCTGTTAAAAGAGGGGAAAAGCAACAAAAGATGAGCTGCAGGGTTATGTTGGTGAGCAGAACCATTGTATGTTAATGGTTTTCTTTCATAAAACACTACTCTCCATTGATTTTTTGGGGGGGAAGCAGGTGCAGTTTTGCTGAGAAAGCATTGCACACACGTTCCCACCGGTGGTCTTTTCTCCTCCAGCGCCAGCTTTATTAAACACTGAGGATCATAGAAAGAACTCCGGCAATGCTAAAAGCAATTTATTGCTTATATATATATATATATATATATATATATATATATATATATATATGTATTTTTTTTAAAGGTACACACACAGTCGGAGGTCATCATTTTGCTAACATCCAGATTTGTTTCCCACAGCCCCTCAGTACCAAGCCCCGTTCTCGGTGACCAGCAACTTGACAGTGGTGTGTGTCAGCTGGGCCGACTCCTTCCTCCTGCACGGCCCGCTGAAGGAGTTCGTGCTGACCGACGGGGGCCAGCGCGTGTACCGTGGCCTGGACACCACCCTCTACATACCGAGGACTGGGGACCGCAGTGAGTGTCGGGCTTCTGTACCTCAGTGTGGAAGGCGCTCGGGGCCCTAGCGTCACGAGATGGTCACTCTGAACCATGGCCAGCAGGGCCTCAGCGGCCACTTCAACTTTGGGTCCCTTCATGAGAACTTACACCTGTAAGTTTTAAAGGAACAGGTGCAGACCATATGCAGAACAAGATACACTCTGTGTACCATCCTTTCTCCTCTGATAATTCTTTTTTTAATTGTTACTGATTTCAGAGAGGAAGGGAGAGTGATAGAGAGATAGGAACATCAATGATGAGAGAGAAACACTGATCGGCTGCCTCCCGCAAGCCCCCTACCGGGGATCAACCCCGCAACCCGACCATGTGCCCTGAGCAGGAATTGAACAGTGACCTCCTGGTCCGTAGATCGACGGTCAATCACTGAGCCACATAGGCCAGACCGTGATAATTCTTTTACTTTGCTATATAAGCTCTAAACTTCCCTAGTTCTGTTACACACACACACACACACACACACACACACTGCTATTAGTGCACTAATTGTAGCTCCATAATTATACAATTAGAAATAGGTTTGCGTATTGGGTGAAACCTCATTTGCCCTGGGATTCTGCTTTCGGACGTTTTCCTGCTGTGATGCATTGTTCTTCTAAGAGTGAGCCCCCTGCTGGTGGGTGTGGATGACCGAGTCCCATACCTTCTGTCCAGCCTTCCTTTTCCAGGTCACGTGCACCACGGAGGAAGGAAGCGTCAAGACGCCTCTGATCCAGTACGACCCCTCCACGGGCCTCGGTAAGCCCTGCCTCGCGTCACGTCTAGGGCACCACCTGCTCCTTTTCCTAAAGAAACATGCGGGTGTTTACACACATGTGCTAATATGTTACCATAGATGCTTGGAAGGAATTGTGTGAAGGGTCGAAGGAATCTTCAAAAGTCCTCCTGGAACGGACGTGAGGCAAGCAGTTAGATAGACTCTTCAGATGCCAGTCCTTGACTTGTAGGTAGAGATCAGCTTCCCTCTTACGCAGACCCTGCAGGGAAAGAGCTGTTATACGCCCTTGTTCCCCCGAGACAGTGATTTGTAGAGAAAGTCACAGGGAAGAGATCAGAGGAAGAGAAAAGGCTCCGGTGCCAATCCGTGCTGATCACAGCGGCAATGTTCCAGATTCCGAACCTAAACCGGTAATTTGGGGAAATTTCTGTTTTGTATCCTCTGTGAAAGATGGCGATTAACCATCAATACCAAGTAATGTAGCCAAAGAGAGAGAATTGCAACATTTTGGGACATCTTTTATTTATTTTTAAATGTATATTTTTATTGATTTCAGAGAGGAAAGGAGAGAGAGAAACAATGATGAGAAAGAATCATTGATCGGCTGCCTCTTGCACACCCCCTACTGGGGATCGAGCCTGCAACCCGGGCAGGTGCCCTTGACTGGAATTGAACCCAGGACCCTTCAGTCTGCAGGCTGACTCTCTATCCACTGAGTCAAACCAGCTAGGGCTGGAACATCTTTTAAATTGAGTTCTACCCACAATCTTTGAATCTAACATCTGTGAAACTTGACAGTTTCAAAGGGCACGTTAGAGAGGTGCCCAACCTTTTCCATTAGCACGGACTTGGATGGATACCCTGTTCTACAGTCCAGTCAGTACTGTCATGTCAGATTTGCATACATACATAGTTGGCTTTTCTCTTAATAAACATGTCCTACTATTCTGAAACTCAGGTGACCATTCAGATTGTTACCAAGGGTGGTTTTAGTTTGTAAAGTAATAAAATCAGTTCATTTTCCCAGACGTTTCATGTCTGGATGCCCCGTGAACTTCTGTGAGCACCGAACACAGTTCCCCACACAGTCTGTCTCCTTTCACGGAGCAGCAGCTGTGCCTGGAGCCGACCTCAGCTGGTATATTCAGCAACCCAGTGTCTAAAGTGGACAGACAGAGGCCTTGGGGACCCCAGAACTCACCCTGGGTGCTCCTCAGGCTTGTGCCTAAGATGAGAACTTGAAGGTGGTTTTTCCGTTGGCCCCGTACATTTTTTTTTCTAGCAATGGTTCTCAAATTCAAGTGAAAATAAGAGTCACCTCGCTGTGCTTGTCTGTTACATAGTTTCCCGGGCCCCTGGCACAGACTCGGAAGCGGAGGGCCCCGGTACCTGCTCTTTATATATATACATATATGTGTATATGTATATGTGTATGTGTATGTGTATGTGTATGTATATGTATATATTTTTAAAATTGATATCAGAGAGGAAGGGAGAGAAGGGGAGAGAGATAGAAATATCAGTAATGAGAATCATGGATCGGCCGCCTCCTGCACACCCCACACTGTGGATTGAGCCCACAACCTGGGCATGTGCCCTGAGCAGGAATTGAACCCTGACCTCCTGGTTCATAGGTCAGCGCTCAACCACTGAGCCACACCAGCTGGGCTAGGCACCTGCTCTGTAAGTAAGCCCATCCCAGTGGACCAGGTCCCCACATTGAGCACAGCCACTGATGGGTCGAGTCCCTCAAAATGAAAGGGGACTTTTAAAGAACGGTTTCCCCTGATGAGAAGAGGAACTCCGAGGACTGTGCAAAGTCGCAGAAAATTCCGAGATGTATTGTCCGACCAGCGTGAACAGTCGTTTCTCATTTTCATGATGCAGCTTGTTCGCTGCTGCCGTCCTCTTGCCTGGAGGCAGCCTCCCAGCAGGAAGGCCAGGCCGGGCTCCCTTCCCTCCTGCGGCTCCGAGGGCTCTTTCCTTTCCCAGGCTTCCCTCCGGCAGGCTGCCCTGCATCCCCTGCGTCCTCTCAGGCAAGGGGTCCACTGGGCCCGTCAGATCGACTTCTGGGGCTGCGGCCCTGCACCACGCAGACAGGCAACTCGGCTCTCTGAGGGCAAGGCCAAGGTGGCGGTTTTATTGTCATCAAACAACACACATTGGTTCCTAATTGGGGGACTTCTGACCCCCCTTCATCGTAGACGTGCGGGAGCAGAGCGCCATGGAGCTGTCAGAAGTGGACTTCAGGTCACTAAGTCACATCCCTTCGAACTCCCTCCCCATGTACTGCCCAACACGGGGCAGGAGATGGCAGACCCGCCGCCCGGAATGACCTCCCCTCCTCTCCCCGGTCCTGCAGGCCTGGTGCTGACCACGCCCGGAGGGAAGAAGGGGTCGGGGAGCAGAGGCACCGAGTTCTACGACGAGCTGTGGTTCATCGCGCTGATGGCCGTCCTGGGCCTCATCTTGCTGGCCATCTTCCTGTCCCTGATTCTGCAGAGGAAGATCCACAAGGAGCCGTTCATCCGGGAGAGGCCGCCCCTGGTTCCCGCGCCGAAGAGGACGTCCCCGCTGAGTGTCTATCCCCCGGGGGAGACCCACATGGTTTGTCTGAAGGCCGCCCGCTTCCCAGGCCCAGACCAGAAGGCTCGCCTTTTAGAGGGACATGTTCCCGGGGCCTCGTAACCAGGGACTGGGTGGTAGTTGTGTCTGCCCGAGCGTGAGGGCTGGGAGCCTAACTCTAGAGCATTCTTTTTGTTGTTGAATCCTCACCTGAGGATATTTTTTCCGTTGATTTTTAGAGAGAGTGGAGGAGTGAGACAGAGAAACATTGATGTGAGAGAGACACATTGATAGGTTGCCTCCCACACAGGGATTGAGCCTGCACCCGAGGTACATGCCCCTGATTGGAATCAAACCCGGGACCCTTCAGTCCATGGGCCAGTGCTCTATCCACTGAGCCACACCGGCTAGGGCAAGTTTCAACACTTTAAAAAGGTGGCAATGAGTGAATGGTAGCCTTGTCCGCCTCCTGGGTCTCCTCCTTTCCCCGGGACACAGCAGGGAGCAGTGGGGGAGCCCCTGACGAGGCTGCCGTGCCCAAGGAGCAGGCGTGCTGGGGACGGGGAAGGGCAGGGTCCCTGGGAGGCCGGTGCTGCGTGGCTGGCGCGGGATGCAGCGTGTGCAGGTGTGTGTGTCCTGGTGCATGCACATCTCAGGATGACAGTGGGTGTGAGCGTGCTCGGCTGTCACTGGAGAGGCACTAAGATTGTGCCACCAGCACTGACCGCCGCCTCCCGTCTGTCCCCAGTTTGACTCCGTGGCTGATGTATCGGACGCGTGCAGCAATGTCACCCTCAAGAGCTATACCATGCACTTCGAGGTAGCTCCCTCCGTGTGCTGCGTGGGTGCATGGCCCCTGGGTGGCGTGTTGACATGAGGGGTAACTCAGAGCCCGCCCATGTTTAAGAGCAGCTAGACTGCCTTACAGCGCGTTCTGGGGCCTCATCAGGTTCTAGGTCTTCGAGTGCCTTTGTGTTCCTGATATTAGTACCAGACCTGTTGTATTTCAGAGGCTGGATCCTATAACAAGGGAAAGATACGGGATGAGAAGAAAGGGAGGGAGAAGTCCAATCCACCTTTTTTTTTTTCTAATCCTCACCCGAAGATATTTTCCCATTGATTTTTTGGGAGAGTGTAAAAGGGAGGGGAAGACAGAAACATTGATGTGAGAAAAACACACTAATTGGTTGCTTCCTGCACGCACCCCGACCAGGGCCCGGGCTGGGGAGGAGCCTGCAACTGAGGGACGTGCCCTTGACCAGAATCGAACCTGGGACCCTTGAGTCCGCAGGCTGTGGCTCTATCCACGGAGCCACACCAGCCGGGGCCAAGCTGCACACTTTAAGTGCAGTACGATCGTGCTTCCTTAGTGGGGCCATGGGAGGGGGCTGCTCGGGGCGTCCCACTGATCAGGGCAACTTCCTCTGCAGGGACTGACCGACACCAAGATCCCGCGGTCTGGGGCCCGCGTGAGCCTCAGGAGCAACCACAGCATCTCTGTCCTCCGGATCCCGAGCCAGAGCCAGCTCAGCCAGGCCTCCCAGGGCTCCCTGCACCGCAGCGTCAGCCAGCTGCTGGACCTGCACGACAAGAAGGTCCTGGTGGACGACGCGCTGTGGGAGACCATCATGGGCCACGACAGCGGCCTGGTGAGTGCGTTTCTCCCGGAGCCTTCGCTCAGCACCCGAGCGGGATGTCCTCCTGCATCTGCTGGGGCCTCCTGCCCCTGCTGAGGGCTGCCTCCCCCCTCACCCGGCACAGGGCACCCCTCCGACCCTTCACCCAACAGCTCACTGGTGTCGCTGTGACTGTTGGACGAGCAGGGTAGAAAAGTCGTCTTGTTTTGTTAGCACACAGTAGAGCTCAAAAAATAAACTCATGAGTAAGTGAAGAGACATACATGGTAGAAAGGACTGGAAACCTAATTGGCTCTGTTTGCCATGAGCCCCCAGTGACTGGAATGAACAAATCCCGTTTGTACCGCCCGGCAAACTTACTTGTGCCGACTCCCTAGGTGTCTGCTGGCGGGAGGGTCCTTGGGGACAGTAGGTAATAAACAGCCGGCTAAGGGCTTCGCTCGCACTCCCCTCCACGGCAGAATTCGCCACCGGCATTTCTCCCACCCTCTGCTCCTGCTCTCCCCTTTCCTTCTCCCCAAGTTCTATTCCTTCACCCCAAGAGTCGCTGGCTTCCTTGAAGCCCTTCTTAACTAAGGGAGACCCTTAAAGCAAGTTCCCAGACTCCAGGTTCCAATCACAGTGACAAGATAGAACACACAGTGGGCTTATTGGGCACGATGATGTGTGATAGGCATTTAAAAATATGTATTTTTTGATTTCAGAGAGGGAGAGAGAAACATCAATGATGAGAATCATTGATTGGCTGCCTCCTGCAAGCCCCCCACTGGGGATTGAGCCCACAACCCTGGCATGTGCCCTGACCAGGAATCAAACTGTGATCTCCTGGTTCATAGGTCGATGCTCAGCCACTGAGCCACGTTGGCTGGGCATGTGATAGGCTGTGTGTGTGTGTGATAGGCTTTTTTAAATCAAGGATTTCCTTGATGTTAACAGGACCAAGTTCCACGGTTCCATCTCAGATCTAAAGTTTCTAAGTGGCAGGAATCATTGTACCAGTCTCATGTCGGATGGACATGCACGATGGCGGTCTCAGGTGGCTCAGCGCAGCACAGCGAGGGCTCAGGTGCCCGTGTCCTCACCTGAGGGCACAGAGTCCTTTTTTCATGAACTGGGACCTAAGAAACATCATGTGACTGCAGAGCCACATAGCTCCACTGTCCCACGAGGGGCCATTTGTGCCTGCTGTCCAGGGCTAGGAGCAGGCAGCATGCCCAGCAGTGCCGGGACTGCTCCGGAGATGCCAGTAGGTGGCGCATTAACTTTCCTTATGATTGATATTCCTGAACCTACTCAGTATACAAAGGCAGTGGGAGTGGGGAGCAGGGAGCCATAGAGCTTGTGTTCCGGCTCTTCTGCTTGCATTTTGAACTAAATCTCAAATACGTATGTGTGTGTGTGTGTGTGTGTGTGTGTGTGTATATATACACATATATATATACACATACATACATATATATACACACATACATAAAGGCTGCGTAAGTACTCCATTTTTAAAATGTTCTTACTTGCCCACCCCTTTTATATATTGTCTCCACGTTGCTGACCAGAAAACAGGCTTAGGAAGATGAAGGTGCGGCACAGTGCGCTCCTCCATGACACATACATTGGCTTAGTGTGTAGCTCACCTGTGCGTGTGACCCGATGCTTCCCGTGAGTTTAAGGCGAGGAGGGCTCCAACCACACCCCAGTGGAGCGCAGGGGATTAGAACTGCCCTGGGTGGCGGGCGCTGCGCAGCGAGCCTAACCTAACGGGACGGCTTCTTTCCAGTACCTGGACGAGGAGGACCTGATGAACGCCATCAAGGGCTTCAGCTCCGTGACCAAGGAGCACACCACCTTCACCGACACCCACCTGTAGGGCCGCCGCCTGCAAACCGTGAGTGCGCCTGGGGGTGGCTGCACGCCCCATTCCTGCGCCGTCTCCCTGACACACCAGAGGCAGAGCCGCGGCTTGTCATCTGTCATCCTTGACCGACATGAGAGAGGTCTAGGAGAGGGGTGGTTCTGGTGTCTGAAACAAAGGCTGCCGTGCACACGAAAACTCTCATTGTGAGGAAGCTGAAAACCACACTTTTCACCTGGCCCTGCCTCTGGCCGAGAGACCACAGGTAAAACCATCAGTGGGCGCAGGGCTGTTACCAGTGAGAGAAGTCAGTAGTCTCAGGGCGAAGTGATTCCGAGAGCATGTCCCTGCGGGTCCCAGGACCCTGTAAGGAACAGCTATTCCAATGGTCACAGCCGCAGAACCAACCCTGACTTCAGCCCAGCAGGGTCATTCAGAGGTCGCGCCCTCGGGAAGGGTTTGTACTGGTTACACTGTTCAGGGACATTCCCCACCTGCCCCAGCATCAGTTAGAAGGGTCTGTTCCCAGCGCCTTTCACTCTTGCAAACGGCTGTGTTAACTACTCAACTTTGTACATTTTCTCACTTTCCCACCCAACTGTTACATGACTGACGAGAAAGATGGGACCGATAATTACAGCCCTTAGTAATACCGACCTTGTGCTTCACTGGCAACATAAGTTACTTTCATGCGTATTAAGTTCTCCCTCTCGCCTCCCTTTTTTGTTATGGGAAGAAGACATGGACAGACGCATGTAGGTACACTTTAAACAGCTGTTCCTAAAACAACTGAAAACACAGGTAGTCTTCATCATTTTTATTTGACTTGATAAATAAATACAGGAGAACGGTTGTGAAACCACTGGCAATATGGTAAACTTTAAAGCATTTATTCAATTTTACTCACTTATTTCCTGGAATGAGAATATGTACATTTTTCACCAATAAATGCTTAATGCTTCACAATTACCTTATTTGCAGATACTTGAAAGTCATTCCAATCACATGGAAAAAAAATACAAAAAATTATCTTTTATTCTTACAATTTAAAATATATTCAAAATAACATTTTTGCAGCAGCCCAAACCTTTGACAGAAATTTCAGAGCTGTAGTCTCCTAAGCATCTATAGGCGCAAGCGGCGGACCTTCCCCCCGCCATGTGCATGGATAGCCGCAAACCTCGCATATCAACTCTGGTCGCCCAATTTTAAAATCAGACTTGTTAGTGACATCTCTGGGTTTGTAAAGAAAATGGTAACTTAAATTCGTAAATATTCCAGCGCATATGGAAGAAATGGGGATGGTTCTGTTTTGGACGTGTGGCAATTAACTGATTAACAAAGTAGCCACGTTCTGATTTAATAGTTTGGATTATTAACACGGTGGCTCCTACACGAGGCAGACTCGCACTTGGTAGTGTTCCCTTCTGGGCGCTCATAGCTTTGTCCTTATCATTCCATCTGTTCAAACACAGACAACTGCTCCCACTTGAAAGAAAGTTGAAGTGGACTTTGGGCATTTACTATTGGTGATGCGTGCTAAGATTTAAGACCTACACTTACAAGTACCCTCAGCGACTAGGCCACCAGGGCAGCCTGGTGTTCAACATCAATAGTGTTTTGAATGACAGGGTATTTCTCCACAAACATAGCACCTCATTAAGTATCAGGTAAACACTGTGCAATCACAATTAGGGTGAGAGACTAAGTTCCACGCAGAGAAGGCGTGTGATTTACGACAACCTTGCAAGGCAGGCCTCAGGCATCATCTACGTGAGGAATGTGGTCAGTTGGTTCCCATGTTCTCAGGGGGGCTCACCTATACGGTGCCATCTGGTTAAGGTGGGGTGGTTCCTACACGTATTTCTGAGCTCCCTGGACTAGCTTTACAAATGATCAATTGAACACGCTTGTAAACCTAAAAATAATCTTCAGAAAGGTCAAAAGAGCTCTAGTTTTTTTCTCGTTACTCCATCTCATTCTGTGAAAAAGATACTAAGTGAAGTCTGATGTTTTTGTCAAGTTTTGGTGTAGAAGCTAGTGGACTGGATCCAGGAGTTGGACTTCCATCTACAGCAGGGGCGGGGAACGTCCGGCCCACAGGCCGCACGAGGCCCTGCCTGGGCATGGGTGGCGAGGCCATTACATGTCCGACCACATGCAGCAGGCTCACGTTGAAGCTGGTAATTCGTACGGCCTGCACGTAATGTCAAATAGCCAAAGGGCCCTTGGCAGGAAGAGGTTCCCCACCCCTGCTCTGAATGAACAACACCCTACCTGCCGGGTGAGCTCACAGGCTGTACTCCTGCCCCGAGGAGTCGCTCTTCTTGTGCCGAGGGGACGGCGTGGTCTTGGTGGGAGAGGGGGACGCGGTCCCGGGCGAGTCGGTGCCTCCATCGGAGGTGCTGGGCGAGGAGGCCAGGTGGGGCCCTTTCTTCCTGCCCAGGAGCCCTCCTCCGTCGAACCCGCCTCTCTTGCGGAGCTCCCCTTTGTCACCGTCATCCTCGGGCGCCCTCTTCTTGGGTTCCGGGGCAGCGTCGGCTGCTCTGTGCGCTTCCGACCCACCATCGGACTCTCTCACACTTCTCGTTTCGGCTCCAGGAGCCTTGCTCTCGGCCCCAGCACAGTCCCCCGCCGCCCGCTTCACCTCCGCCTGGATGGGGCCCGAGGTGGCGTCTTCGGGCACAGCGCGCTCCAGGTTTCTGTTCAGGTTGAGGGTCTGGAAGTCGCGGTAGCTGTGGAAGCTCTCGGTCCTCCGCGCCCGGGCTAACAGCGGGCTCTCCCGGTACGGCCGCATGGAGCCATACGTGGCTGCCTCGTGGATGGTCTCCTGCTGCTGCAGCTGGAGGCTGGAACAGGTGTAGAAATCACAGGTCAGGAATTACACCACAGTGTACGCACGTGACATAAATATGTAAAGACACTACCTTCTTGTTCTTACTTCTGTCTGTAAAGATACATTTAAGTACTTTATAAAATTGCGTGTGTATTAACTACCCATTCACATATCCTAGATGTTGTCAGTGAAGCAGGATTCTGTTTTCAATTACAGTGGCATAAAGTATGTATTAGTTCCAGGTGTACAGCAGTGATCAGACCTTTATGTAATGTACAGAGTGACCCCCGTAAGTCTAGGACCCATCTGACACTATAAGGTTATTACAGTATTGACTGTACAGTGGAACCTCGTTTCTCGAACAATTCGCTTCTCACCCGGACAACCCGTCCATGCTGACGCCTGTAGGATCAGCCTCGCATCCCTCAGGTGATTGAGAGAACGCACAAATATGCATTTTAGCAGTTTCCCTTGGCTAAAATCTCAGAATACTGTGCTGTGAATATTTGTGTTTTGCTTTCGTTGCTGCTTATAATTGTTAATTTTTAATGTCCTTTTTGTTTTTAAAGTGTTTGTGTATAGATTACACAGTTCATTAGCCAGGTACTATATAGAAGGTTGAAACGGAATCATTGGGGGGTCTGGAATGGATTATTTCTAATAGGAAGAAATGATTCGATTTTCCAACAGCCCCCGGCACAAATCAAGCTTGAGAAACGAGGTCCCACTGCATTCCCTATGCTGTACTTCACGCCCTCGTGACTGTTCTTGTAAACCCAGCTAAGTTTCTGAAAAGCTGAAAAAAGCTGGGGAAAAGGGCTTTAAAACGACGGTAGAACCAACGTAATTCAGTATCGGGCCTTCAGTTTAGATTTGGATTTTTTAAAATACATTAACTAAAAAGATATAATATGCCATTGTCTTAAAAGTACATAATGCATGCAAATTCCGAATCGTTATGTTGTACACCAGTAACTACTGTAGTGCTGTATGTCAATTACACCTCAGGAGAATAAGTTACATAATGTCAAGATCAGGAACAAAAATGCCACATACTATCCAAGGTCACAGATGATGACTTTCCTGATTTCCTTTGAATGATTCTCGATCACAAAACAGGCACCCAAATGAGCAGAAATTCACAAAATAAGGTAAAGGGTAAAAATGTCTTCCTATGCAAAGAACCAGATGCATGCAGTGGAGACATTTAGTGAGAACAGTTTTTTTGAACTGAACAGCACGTAGAGTGTGACTTTGCAATGTCGCTAAGACACCAGGCTTTTATGAACGAGTCCCCCCAGAGCAGCGCCACCCACCTGGAGCTGGCCTCGCGGAGCCGGCTGTGCTGCACCACGGAGGCGGCCGGGCTGATGCTGGGCGTGGCGCAGCGGGAGGTGCTCAGGTCGCACTGGTCCAGCAGCTTCAGCAGCTCCTCCTCTGTCGGGCCGCCTGCATCTGAGGAAGCACCACCGCGTTACCACCGCGGCCCGCGCGCGCCCCGTTCCGGGTCTCCCGCGAAACCTACCCTTGTCCTCGCTCTTGCTGACCATGTCCATGGCGGTGGTCAGGTCCCACATCTGGATGCTGCCGTTGGTGTGGCCGGTGAACAGGTAGCGCCGGGGCCGGGAGCCCATCCTGCTGGAGCCCTCGCACTCCCGCACGGTGAAGGCGGAGATGGTCGTGCAGTCCACGGCTTGGATCTCACATATTCTGTAAGCGACGGGACAGACAGCATTGCAGATAAAGTAATTCCAAAATCTGAATCACAGAGTCAGAGTTGAATACACCACATACATAAACCGATGTAAAGGGGGCAAGGCAAGTCACAGGAATCAAAGTTAACCTTTGTTTCTTTGAGTCTCATGAAAAGGTTCTTATAAAATGATGCAGTAAAAGTCATCGAAACCAGGCAAATAATTTCAGTCAATCTTGAAAGAGCCTTGGTAAGACATGAGCAGTTCTTTCAAAGGAAGCTATAGACATTCACTAGACAAAATGTTGGAAATCATTTAAGATTTGTGTGTAAATTACAAACATCTGAAACCAGAGGACACGTACAGCGGTGGCAGAGGCCTGCGAGCACCCGCCATTAGGATGATACTCGGACCTCTCAGAGCCTGAGCTGTCTGTAAGCAGAAGGCTTCGCATTAGCTGCTTAAGGGGCTGCTGTTCTATTTCTGCTTATTTTTATAAATGTAGCTTTTCCTCTGGAATCGTAAAGTTAACAGGTATAAACTAACTGTAGTTGGTACAACACATTGCTACTGTGTGAGCTAGAGAGGAGGGAGGAGGTTAGACCTGAACAAGGAGATGAAATACTATGTTGTCAGGTTGTTACAACAGCAGTTTTAATAAACATTTGGCAGCTTCTTCAAATATGCACAGAACACTGAGTGATTTATAACATTTCTCAAGGTATTAATTTCGTCTTTATCTTGGAGGCTTTAGTACATAGAATTTTCCAGAATCAACTCATGCAATGAACTTCGATAAAAAATTTATCATCTCAGATTTTATTAAAATAGTAAGAAATTAGAAATATGCTGAAGGATAACCGAGAAATTATTAAAAGCAGAGTAACATTAATATGAGTATCCATAACTTTCTTAATAAGTACCAATAGGAATTTTGACATGCAAAAAAAAGGTTATGTCTTTAAAGAAGAGAAATGTTATAGCTCAATGTGTCTGAGGCGATAACATTTTTAAAAGTCAAATGGACAAGGAAGAGGAAACGAACTTCTACCGGCATCTATACTAGTTAGGGCTACTCCGGATAGGTCATATCTCTTACTCATTTGATCCCATGCCATCCTACAAGGTGGGGACCTTCTTTTATAAAGAAACTGGGGCTCCGAGAAACAAAGCAACTGAGGGTGAGTGTCGGCAGCTGGTGAGAGGAAGCGCCAGAACCCGCCCTCCCACTCCTGTTTGCTCTGCCGTCACTGGTCCTTCCTAACCGTCCAGCATCAGGAAATCTTACGTGAATCCTAGAGAACAAGCACTGGATATCCTGCCCTGGTTCCAAGGTAAAGCAAGGCCAGGTAGTGGGCAGACTCCTCTCGGCAGTGTGTGTGCCTGCACGCTCATCAGGGATTCAGCACTGTTGTCTAAGGAGGAGTCCTGAGCAGGACCCGGCCCAGCAGCCTTACCTCTTCCCAGTGGAGGACAGCCTGACGAACAGCTTGTTGGTGATGGGGACCACTTTCTGGATGAACACCTGCTGATCATCTCGCTCACCAAAGGGCCCTTGATCAGACGATGCCAAAAGAAGTGCAAGTTTAAATGGTTTCATTTAACATTAATACTGGGGGCGGGGGGGGGGGGGGGGGGATTTTTCACGCCTGTCAATGTGGCCTTGCATTCCACGTCAAACAGACAAAATGCAATGATGCGAGGACTTCAACTTGCATTAAAACATTTTTAAGAAATGCATGTTTCAAAACTGTTTGTTGTGCAGTGAGGCTGTTAAAGCTGAAGGCAGGGATAAGCTTCGGAGTGTCCATGGTCAGTGCCCGTGGGAACCCGGGACGCATAAGCTCCACCTTCACTCACCACCTTTGAGAATGCGCTCAGTTCCTTTTATGTACTGACTTTGGGGGGGGGGGGGGGGCAACATGCAAAATCTTAAAAATAAAGTGCAACCCCATTCAATAGAATTTAATGTATCAGAAGCCTGTTGCACCCTGCAAAGTTTTCTTATCTAATTAAGGAAAAGATTAAATTATTTTCACTTGGTTGTACTTGGCAAGGCAAATCATTGACTCATCCATTTTAGAAAGATTCTTAACATAAAAGTGTTTTCATAAAAAACTTAAATGTAATATTTTAGTAATTCTCTTATCCCATCATACTCAATAGCTAAAATAATAAAGTATTATTCACAAAAGTATATGATGTACACAATATAATTCACACATTACCTTATGTGAATCATACCTAATGAGATGAACAATTACATCTTCATTAAAGAAATAAAGTGCTCCAATTCGCATAACCATCATGGCTTTTAATTATAAACAAAAATGGTTAGCGTTTGGAGATATGTACTAAATTTGTTTTAAATGGATTTCATAATTTAAATCTCACTTGCAGGTTTCTACTGCTGTTCACACACTCTGCCCCGGCCACACGGGATGTGAAAGCCGACAATGCTCACCGATGTCGTTCCCAGAGGAGTAGCTGCCGGGACTCTCCGTCTCCTCCAGAGACAGGATCTTGAACGAGGCGAGAGGAGTGGAGCCGGGCTGAGTCGAGATCATGCCTCTGAACCGTGTCACCGTCCATGTCCGGACGTGATTGTTATCTGCACAGACTAGGAGGCAAGAACACCGAGGAGCTAGTAAATAGGGATCTGTACGAGCACCAGCAAAACACTTTCACAAACACTAACTTTTCACTGTGATCACCACTGAATAGATCATAGCACATCTTTTGGAGTGGCAAATGGCATGTTTATCTTAAAATTATACTTAATTTGAGATAGCTGAATATGGTTTTCCTTCTGCACATGTAAGGTATGTAAGTACATCTACGGACCCTCATAAAAGTAGCCTATAGAGTAGAAAAGGTTAAAGAAAAGTATTTGTAAGAGAAAAGATAGTAAACAAGTTGCCTAGTTTGTTTTTAAACCACAGAAACTTTCCTTATGTTACTCAGATATTAAACAGACCAGGAGCAACTGAAAACGTATCGTCACAAATGACATTTGTCAGAAGCTATTAGGAACCCACTGATAGTTACATGAGGAAAATTAAGATCCCCTATAAAGCTGAGAACCATTTTTATATCAAGTAAGAGTATGTATTTTAAAAATATACTCTAACTTCATTTACTTTTTCATATAAATATTAAGTGGGCATATATTGAGATAATCCTAACAAGTAGCCTCTCTTTTTTTCCCCTTTGGTCTGAACACATAATGATACTTTTTGGCTTATATTTTTAAATCACTGTAAATTTTGTGGCATACCTTAATAAAAATGTATACTAATTTGACATGATTTCAGAAACTTGTTATTTACCAAAAACTTGTTATTACCAATAAGTTATGAACTCATCAGTAAATACTAGGAAAACATCTAATATACAACGGTTTTTACTGGAAAAATGCCATAGTTGCATATTTTAAAACAAAACTTTAGAAATTTAATTTTGGCTAATTGCAATAGAAATAAAAAAATGTACAAATGTTACTTAGGTAACAAAATTCTCAATTCTCAGAATACCAGCTTTCTGTTAAAAAGACATTTAGTTCTAGGCTGTTTATTCAGTTTCATGGGAAATAATATCCTGATTTCACTATTAACCCAAGGATTCAGAAAAATTTAAAAATCTTTAAAATTATGACAAATTTTGTTATTTGGTTCAAATGAGCAACTATGGCAATTTTGTTAATTAAAAACTTCATATTATTAAGACATGAAAACAAACACTATGGCAGCAGTTCTCAACCTGTGGGTCGCAACACCTTTGGGGGTCAAACGACCCTTTCACAGGGTTCGCCTAAGACCATCGGAAAACATATATAATTACATGTTGTTTTTGTGATTAATCACTATGCTTTAATTATGTTCAATTTGTAACAATGAAATTGGGGGTCACCACAACATGAGGAACTGTATTAAAGGGTCGCGGCATTAAGAAGGTTGAGAACCACTGCACTATGGGAAAAAGAATGTCATTACATTTATATCAGTATATACATATTTTTTACACTTATATTGATGTCCACCAGGTGGCAGAATAACATAACTGAGCACTGCATACATAAAGTACTCCAGATTTGTGGCTAAGGTGGACATTTTTCTTGACAAATTTACTTAAATTTCAAACCAACATGAAATAGTGGATATTAAAATGCAAGTTTTACTATGCAGTTCTTTGGCACATGCTACAATATCACCTCCATCAAAATAAGAGCAATTACTGCTGAGATTTCTAAGCACTGTCATGCAAAACAGTCTTTCTCACAGGGTCAAATGGCCCGACCCTCTGCCTCCCTCTCGTAGGGGTTTGCAGTCAGCTCTGCCGCAGAAGCTAGTTCTTCACACACGAGGTGCTGACTCGAGGAGGGGACATGTGGGCTTGGTTTCGGATCTGGCTGCGGCCCTGGCCCTGCAGACTTCTCATCGAGTGCAGTGATGCAAGTACTTCGACTTGCATTAAAAATGTTTAAAGAAATACCTATTTGTAAAAAATGGTATTTTGTACTGAAGGCAAAAATATGCCTAGGAATGTGCACGAGGCTGCTTTGCTGGTCTTCGGGTTTGTGAAACTAGGGACTCCCCAGGCACGGTTCCGAAAGCGGCCTCCTCTCCAGCACGGACCCTCCCCTTACCCGACACGAGGTGCTTCTCGGACAGCATGATCTTGGTCACGGGGCTGCGGTGCACGGTGAAGGTCTGGAAGAGCTGCGGGCCCGACCCCACCGTCTCGGGGTGCTGCACGATCACCCGCACTGCCCCAGAGCTGGTACCGTAGGCGATCTCAATCCAGTTCCCACTGACACCTGGGGCGCAGGGGAGGGAGGGGGACATTAGGCCACAATAAACCATGACGGAAGCTGCCCTCGCAAAGCTCCCCTGCGAGTGGGGCAGAGCAGACCCAGTGCCCCACCAGCCCCATCGGCCCAGCTCAGGAACCGGGGACTCTGACCCCCCCCTGCACTGTGTCCGGTTCTCACAGCAGCTCTCACACACGGATCATCTACTCCCGTCTACCCACCTCTACTCCTCGACGGACAGAAGCCTAATCACCTTTCTATCCAGGTCACCCTGTAGAGTGCCCGAGACATCATAGGTATTCTTTAAACATTTATTGAGCAACACATCGGATGCAAAGCCATAGTCCGTGTTCCTTCTAGCCCCGCAGGACCATCTCTTGTACTTTGCTGTAATACAGAATTTTCCTGGAGGAGTCGAGTGGCGTATATAGTATATCCTATTTTACAGTTTCAAAACCCTTCGCCCTGGAACACACCCCCCACCTGGTTACATCACACTCACCGCGCTGTCTCTAACCCTGCCCAGCTCCTCCCGTCAGGCCATCTGTGGCTCCGTTTCTACACAACTGCCCAGGCCCCACCCAGAGTTAAAGAAGGATGGGGTTCAGCGGCCTGTCCTCTTCAAGAGCTTCAGATAGGGAGCCTCTGACTCTACCAGCTCCTGGCCTGGTTCCCCTCAATGCCTGACGGCCCTGGAAAGCACTTCTCCTGGCCTGCAGGCGGCACCTGCCTCTAATTTAGACAAAGGAACTGCTGCTCACTCTGCAGAGGGCGAGCTTGCTGTGAAGGGCTGGGCAGCAAAGATTCTAACCTGTGCACCCACACTGTCCATTACAGCACAGAGGAGCCAGAGGCGACCTGGAAAGCATTAATGCAGAGCGCCTGGCCTGGCTCGCTGAGCCCAATACAGTTAAAATCTCACCTCAGTCTCAATCCAAACCCCCTGGTGCACTAGAATATTGTTTTTTTTCGGATCAAAGAATTATTTCCTTTAGTGAATTACATAAAATTGCATTTTATCAATAACATTCACACCTATCGATATCATTGTGCACATTTCCTAAAATTCCTTTAGGAAATTTAATACATTTCCTAAAATTCCTTTCATTACTGATAATTTAGAGTTCCCATGTATGTTTACTGTTCACCCCAGAATATAAAAACTTTGTAATTTACAGAACTTGTTAATTGCATTGCAAAGGCCTTTGAAAGGCAATGAAAGTTATAGACACTGAACTTCCAAGTAAAATGCCTTTCCAGAACTTAAATTTGAAATCTGCAAAGGAAATAAGCTCATCTTGTCCAATAAAGATGAGCAGTCTAAGAGCTTTTGTGTCTGGTTAAAAAATATAAAGCCTCCTCATTTCAAAACAAAATCAGCTACTGCAATAAGAAGGTCAATGTGTCAATATTTTGGGAATTTGGGTTGATGCTGTAATGATTCGGAGGAGGCAGGTGCGATGTCACACCCCCGCTGCTGCCTGTCTCTGGGCCATGCCTGACTTCCACATGAAAGCAAGTGTAATCCTCCTGCAGACGGGGAGGGAGCCCCAGCGCTGCGATGGAGGAAGAACGCAGGGCGCCTCGGGCACTGACTTGTTTTGGGGGTGAGGTACACGCTGAGCGCGGTGATGGCGTCGTTGGAAGGGTCGTGGTAGAGTTCAGTCACCAGGAGATCGTTGTCCTTCATCCGCAAAGGGAACTTCTGCATGTCTGAAACAGAAACGCTCAGGTCATGTCGAACCAACAGTGCGTTTATTTAACACTAAAGAAGGTGGGGTGTTCTTGTCGTTTAAAAGAGCCCTGGGAGCAGGACGTGCTCACTCACCGATGTAATAGATGGACCCGTTGTTACAGCCGAGCAGAAGGAACGACCCAGCAGTGTCATAACTAGTTATGGGGACGACATCTTGAACCTGATGTGGCGAGATTGTCATCAGATGTCAGATATTAATTACAATTTATTTTCTGCTCCATTTTCTCAAAATTCTTAATAAAAAACACACACCAATATTCACTATAAGTGGGGCTTAGAAATGGGCATTTTGTACGTACACACATGCGCGCGCACATGCACAGCAAATGGTGAAGAACCACGTATGTGATTCCTTTCAAAGCTTTTAAAAATGTGAATTTCCACAGGGGCACGGTCCTTTCAGAATTTAGGATTCTCTCTTTCTGCACATGGTTCTGAGACCACAGCACTCTGAGGACTGGAAGGCCAGGTCTGAGCAGGGCACACAGCGATCAAGGCCTGCTTAGTCACCTAATGTGGGCAGACTTAGACCAGAGCACAGATCAAGCGACTTCCGCATAGTACGTCTCCCCTCGATAACCTTCCTTTCTGTGAAAAGACAGCTCCCCTACTTTCACTCTGCCCACTGCAGGCTTCACCTGTTTCCTAGGAAAGGGCATTAAGGCAAATATGCTTCATGTTTTGTTTTTTCAAGCACTAGAATAAAAATTCAGTTTCCAAGCAGATCAATATAGTTGCAAATTAATAGCTGCCTATATTTGTGCTAAAAGAAAAGCAAAGGGCATGATTTTTACTACAAAACCAAACCAAACCGGAAGTATAGTTTGCCAGAGCAGAGTAGTGACAATAAGGAAGATCCGATACTCTTCCCTGGGCACAGCTAGGACGTGCGCGTGAAACCTCACAGGTGCCACTCAATGCAATGCTCTCCACATACCAGGCACTCCAGCACGGGAAGAGGGATGCAGAGGCCTGTGCATTTGTGGGCAACAAGAAAAATAACAATGCAGTGCGAGCGGCTGGCAATCGGTGTGCAGCACGATCAGAGGGGGGAGGAGGCTCATTGAGGCCCAGCGTGGGGGGAGGGCAAAGGCCACAGAAACATGCAGAACAGTGAAGCTCGGGAACTGGACAGTCACCGAGGAAAAGGAGGGGGAAGGACGTGCTGACAGAGCAGCAAGTGTGAAAGCACAGAGCCAGGCCCATTCCTGTGGAAAGGAAAACGCAAAAGGAGCTAAAAGTTGCAACTCAAACCACGTCAAGGAAATAAATGGCAAATCATAGTTTAAACACTTTTTGCAGAATGACTTCAAATTCTTAAAAACAGTCAAATTTTATCCAGAAGCAAATTTGCTGCTAAATATATTCACTTATTCTGTAAAATCAAACGGAAACAAAATGGACTCCACAACAAGCGAACAGATGCACAGTCAGCAGGAGTTTCAGCCGCTCTCCTGGCTGCCACCTGCTCCAGGTAGAACTCACCTGCCAGTGCTGAGTGACGGCGTTCCACACGCCCACCTTCCCCGTGTGGCTCGTGGCCACCAACTGGTTACCGATGAAGAAGAGAGCGTCTACGGGGACACCGAGGCTGAACACTCCTAAGATAGTAAGAAATAACGAGGCTGATCAGTCATCAATCAAACCCAAACCTTAAAAACATCGTAAAGGCGACTATTTTTAACCGAGGCTCATGTCTACAAATTAGGTGCTAAACACTTTGGGGACCAGAAAGAAGCAACTCTTCAGCAGCTTACACACCCCTAAAGCAGACAGACGGCTGCCCCAAGTCCTCGCACACGGACAGGACGGCCTGTCATCGGAAGCCGTGGTTCCCGCACCTGTTGATCATTCCGATTTACCGGGTAGATTTAAAACGAACAAAATAAAATAACCGGCCCCAGGAGCTATGCCAGGCCCCTCAATCAGAAAGCCACTGCGCTGCTATAAAATCCAAGGAGATTTAGCTACAGCTCGTGGACCAGATGTCTGGGAACCACTGGTCTGAGGAATACAGACTTGGGACCCTCAATGATCTAGAACCTGGAAATAAGAAAGAAAAAAAGGGTGTGGGGTGGGGGGACAAACAAAGGAGTCATTCAACACTCAGAAACCCAGGCCTTTACTCCGCTTGTCTAAACCCCTCGTTTCCCAGCAGGTAGATGTCAGTGTAATTTATACAAAAGGCACTATGTTAGGCCATGGATTGACAACACAAGCCAGGAGCTTATGGTATAAATCAGGGGTCCTCAAACTACGGCCCGCGGGCCACATGCAAATACAAATATTGTATTTGTTCCCGTTTTGTTTTTTTACTTCAAAATAAGATATGTGCAGTGTGCATAGGAATTTGTTCATACTTTTTTTTTAAACTATAGTCCGGCCCTCCAACGGTCTGAGGGACAGTGAACTGGCCCCCTGTTTAAAAAGTTTCAGGACCCCTGGTATAAATAGAGGGAAAAATGCCAACAGCCAATTAGAGCATAAGGTAACAGTAACAGAAGATACACAGGTATAAACTACCCAGAGAGGTCCAAGGGGTAGGAAGGGTTTGAAAATATTTCTTAGGAAAGAAGCCGTGTGAGTGGGTTTTTAAAAAGGTGAGCAGGAGTTCATCAACTGGGGAACGGGGCATGGGGAATGGGAAGCCCAGGGAATCTGAGGAAAGGGGGAGGGGGAGTAGTGAGGGAGGTTGGAAGGACCAATATTCCACATTGAGAGCAGGAGCGTGACGTCTGAGGCAGAGAAGCTTGGGCTGCCCTGGGCGCGGACAGCTGGGGAGGGGCCCTGGCTCTCGGGGGCCTGCCCGCCGCCTTCCTGGTTCTTGCTCTCTCATCTCTAAAGCAGCTGCAGTGAAGGTCTCGGTGTCTAGTTCACCTTCAAAATGTCACAATCCAATTTTGACACAAATAGTATTACCTTAGTTATTTGAAAAACACTTTATGAAAACTGTCTTTTTATCCAAAAATAATGGGAAAATACCTCACCTATTTAATGTGGTTTTTAAGCTGTGTCACATATCAGTTTACTTTTTTAAAAAGTACCTATTATGTGACTACACGAACAATTTTCCCAGCATCTAGCTTAGAAAAAACAAGGCAATGAAGAAGTCATCGAGAGAAACAAACCAATTAAATGCAATGGCAGCATGTATTAAACCCGTAAGCCGGGAGAGAGAACTGATTTCTTTTGAACTATACACCTATAGCAGGTATGCCTCGTTCTGTGCAAACCTGTAATGCACACAAACAAGACCAGCAGCAATCAATAACCCCGTGAAAAGTCTTAACCAATCTTAAAGCCAGGCATCTCTCAGGAATAAAAATGATCGACACTGGACGAAAAGAAAAAAACACTGCTATTGATAGAAATGTCTCATATATATATTTTTTGTATGTGTAAGTACATATTTATGTACATGAATATACTATTTTAGTCCAACCAAGAAAAAAAAAAAACAGCAGCAAAATAAAATTAACACACAAAAAGGCTCAGCCCTGTGGCCAGACCTGGCTGAGAAGGAAACGTGCCACTTCAAAGCAGAATCATCACTTCACGTGCAATTTCAAGAATTCTCACGGAACAGGACTTTCATACAATTGTGCAGAGCATGCGAAGCATGCGAAACTACCTGCAGTACCACGGGCTCGGCAAAAGGTAGAAACAAAACCAGGAAAACCAACCTACGTGGACTACTCTAGAGAGACGAGGGCCTGGGAAATCGAGGAGGACGTTCTGAATGACCAAGACATTTAGTGTCACTGCTGCTTAGGCCCCGCAACCTGACCGCCCTCCGCAGGGAGGGCAGGATCAGCAATGACAAGGCCCCGTCCTGAGGGGCCCGCTGGGTGACACAGTGCCGGCAGCCGCCGCGAGCAGCACCGCCCTGCTCCCTGAAGTTACAGTGAAGGGAGGGCAGCCCGTCACGGACACACCAGCCTGACCACCTCCCGGATGCTGTTGTCAGGCCCTGGAGAACATGTGATAACGAATGGTCTCTTACGGAGTGTGAACATTACTATGTAGGGTCTCACAGCATAGCTCCTACCCCATGAGCCTGTGCAAGCACAGCACAGCCAGCAAGCTCCTTCGCTGACTGGTACATCACAGGGGCAGTTCGAGAAAGAAAAACACACACCACACCCAACTCCCTTTCTGGGTCATTATTCCCTTTTACACTCATTATCTTAGGAGAGTACAGGGTCCAGGCTATGTGACCTGTGCTAAGGTCTTACGTTTTCTAGAATCTCTGGTGGTAGGGTTAGGGGGTGACCAACTCTAAGTTGCCCAAGATTCACTCAGTTTATTTTAACCATTTCCACTACCCTCTTAGTAGCAGCTTCAGTTCTGTCTTATAATCGCTGTAGCCTCAGCACTGTCCACTACATTATCGTGTGGAAATCCAGGTTTCCCTCCCACCTACAGAGAAACATACGAAACGACGATACGTTGCTGTGTTTTGCAGTATTCCTTTTAAACATGTTCTGAAGACCTTTCAAAATTACTGTTTATAATCTAAAATAAAATGTTAAGATGTGTTTTCCTCCTATTTAGAGATGGATCCCTGGCTTCAACATGAGCCATCAGCAGCCGCCCCTCAGCCTGCACCTGCACCATCTGAGCTATAAGATGCCCACAAACACGGCCCGTCCGTTCTGACTCACGGAAGGGGGGACTTTAAAGAAACTGGGCAAACTATGGGAAAAGTTTAAAAATAAAAATGACCTTTCCTTCAACTTTATAGATGTTAGTAACTTGCCTTATTGTCTCTTATGCAATAAAATGTTTTGCCAGGTCTGGGTCCATTGAGAACAAATGTTCAAAGTTTAAAGTAAAAGAAATATTTTTAAAAAAAGACCCCGAATAGCTGCAGCAATCCTGAGAAAGAATAAAGTAGGTGGGATCTCAATACCAGATATCAAGCTGTATTACAAAGCCACGGTTCTCAAAACTGCCTGGTACTGGCCCAAGAACAGACATATAGACCAATGGAATAGAATAGAGAACCCAGAAATCAACCCAAACCACTATGCTCAATTAATATTCGACAAAGGAGGCATGAACATACAATGGAGTCAAGACAGTCTCTTCAATAAATGGTGTTGGGAAAATTGGACAGATACATGCAAGAAAATGAAACTAGACCACCAACTTACACCATACACAAAAATAAACTCAAAATGGATAAAGGACTTAAACGTAAGACGGAAACCATAAAAATACTAGAAGAATACAAAGGCAAAAAAATCTCAGACATATGCCGAAGCAACTTCTTCACCAATACAGCTCCTAGGGCAATGGAAACTAAAGAGAAAATAAACAAATGGGACTACATCAAAATAAAAAACTTCTGCACAGCAAAAGAAACCATCAACAAAACAACAAGAAAGCCCACTGCATGGGAGAACATATTTGCCAATGTTATCACCGATAAGGGTTTAATCTCCAACATTTACAGGGAACTCATACAACTTAACAAAAGGAAGATAAACAATCCAATCAAAAAATGGGCAAAGGACCTAAATAGATACTTTTCAAAAGAAGACAGAAGGAAGGCCAAGAGACATATGAAAACATGCTCAAAGTCACTAATCACCCGAGAGATGCAAAACAAAAGGACAATGCGGTACCATCTCACACCTGTCAGAATGGCTATCATCAACAAATCAACAAACGACAAGTGCTGGCGAGGATGCAGAGAACACTCCTGCACTGCTGGTGGGAATGCAGACTGGTGCAGCCACTGTGGAGAACAGTATGGAGTTTCCTCAAAAAACTAAAAATGGAACTTCCATTTGACCCAGTGATCCCACTTCTAGGAATATATCCCAAGAAACCAGAAACACCAATCAGAAAGGATATATGCACCCCTATGTTCATAGCAGCACAATTCACCATAGCTAAGATCTGGAAACAGCCTAAGTGCCCATCAGCAGATGAATGGATTAGAAAACCGTGGTACATCTACACACATGGAAGACTATGCTGCTGTAAAAAGGAAGGAACT